TGTGTCATTGACGTTTATAGTAGCAAAATTGGAGAAGATTTCAGAGAGAGTGGGTAGAGCAACTGGCACGGAACAGAGTCTAATTGCCAAACACAGCACGGATGTCAAGGAGCAAATCCCTGTGTCACAAACCTTCTGGAAGTTTTATGATAAAATAACAGAAGTAAGACAAGAGAGAGAGGGGTTGGGTTGATTGCATCTTCTGGACGCAAGAAGGCCTTTGGACACAGTTCCTCACAAGAGATTAGTGCAAGAAGCTAATGGCAAGTGGGGCATGCGCATATAACAGGAAGGGCAACTGAAATGTATCAGAGAATACCTACAGGGAGGCCAACAACGAGTAGCGCTAGTGTACTAATTATGTATCACAGTGGCAACCTGTGACGAGCGGAGGTCCGCGCGCGCGTGGGGTCGTCCTAGGACCAGTGGCAAATCTTTGGTATATGTGAAACGACATACGGAAGGGTTAGACTCAGAAGTGTCCCTGTTTGCAGATGTGTGAGAATGTTAATGTAGGAGAATTAAATCTGAATAGACCAGCAGGACTATCAAAGAGACCCTGGACAGAACCTGGACAACTGGTCCAGCAAATGGCTTCTCGAAATTCAATCAGCCAAATGCAAAAGTCATAAGATAGGGGAAGGGCACAGAAGACACAGACAGAGTATAGGCTAGGTGGGCCAAGACTGCAACCTCACTCAAAGGAAAAGATCTTGGGTGAGTAATAACACCGAGCATGTCTCCGGAAGCACACATCAATCAGATACTGCCTGCAGCATATGGTCGCCTGGGCGCCTGGCAAACCTGAGAACAGCATTCCGACACCTTATAAGGAACATTCACGACAACGTAACACCGAGTATTCAGGCCCAATACTGGAGAATGCAGCACCTGATTGGAACCCGCACTTATAAAGCACGTCCAAGTAAACTAGAGAAAGTACAAAGGATTGCAACAAGGTTAGATCCAGAGCTAAGGGGAATTCCCCTATGAATAAAGATAAGGGAAATCGGGCCTGACGACACTGGAGGACAGAAGGGCAGGGGAGACATGAAACGACATAAAATACTGCGTGGAATAGACATGCAAGGTGACAAGACAAGGATGTTCCAGGGAGGGACACAGAATACAAGAGTCCAACAATTTTGAAGTTGAAGACACAAATGAGTTTTCAGAGAGATAGTAGAAGTAATTTCTTCAGTCATAGAGTTGTAAGGCAGTGGAATAGCCTAGAAAATGACATGGAGCAGAACCAATACAACAGTTTAGACGAGGTTTTGATAAAGCTCATGAGCGGGGAGAAGAGAGGGTCTAGTAGCAACCGCGGAATAGCGGGGCCATAGCCAATGATCTCGACCCTGCCACCACAAATATGTGAGTACACCACACACACACCACACACACACACACACACACACACAACCGAAGACGGGCAAATTTAGTCCAATTTTTAAGAAAGGAGACAGAAACGAGGCACTAAACTATAGACCAGTGTGACTGACGTGTATAGTATGCAAAGTCATGCAGAAGATTATCAGGATAAGAGTGGTGGAACACCTGGAACTGATCAAGATTATAAAAGACAACCAGCATGGGTTCATGGAAGGCAAAATCCTGTGGTCAAAAACCTCCTGCAGTTTCATGGGGACAAGATAACAGAAGTAAGACACGAGAGAGAGGGGTGGGTTGACTGCATTTTCTTGGACTGCAAGAAGGCCTTCGACACAGTTCCTCACAAGAGATTAGTGCAGAAGCTAGATTATCAGGCACCCAAAACAAGAAGGGCACTGCAATGGTTTAGAGAATATCTGACAGAGAGGTAACAAAGAGTCATGGTCCGAGATGAAATAACAGCAATAGGCGCCTGTGACGACGGGTTCCCAGGGTTCGTCCTAGGTCCACTGCTATTTTGGAATAAGTGAATGACATACGGAAGGAATAGACTCAGAGGTGTCCCGTGTATTGCAGATGAAGTAATTTAATGAAAGATTTAAATCAGTATTATCAGGCAGGATTTCAAAGAGATCCTGGACAGGCTGGATACGTGTTCCCAGCAACTTGTTACTCGGTAATTTACCCGGCCAAAAGCAAAATCAGAAGATCGGGGAAGGGCAAAGAAGACGCAGACAGAGTATAACAAGCTGGCCAAAGACTGCAAACCTCACTCAAGGAGAAAGATATTGAGGTGAGGTGGACCAAGCACGTCTCCGAAAGCATACTTCAACCAGATAACTGGTGCAGCATATGGGCGCTTGACAAACCTGAGAATAGTGTTCCGATACCTCAGTAAGGAATCGTTCAAGACACTGTACACCTTGTACGTCAGGCCCACACTGGGGTATGCAGCACTAGTTGGAACCCACACCTGGTCAAGCAAGTCAAGAAATTAGAGAAAATGCAAAGGTTTGCAACAAGGGTAGTTCCACAGCATAGGGGAATGTCCTACGAGGAAAGGCTAAGGGAAAAAGGCCTGACGACTCTGAAGGACAGGAGGGTCAGGGGAGACATGATAACGACATACAAAATATTGCGAGGAATTGATATGGTGGACAGAGACAGGATGTTCCAGAGATGGGACACAGAAACGTGGGATCACAATTGGAAGTTGAAGACTCACATGAGTCAAAGTGATGTTAGGAAGTATTTCTTCAGTCACAGAGTTGTCAGGAAGTGGAATAGTCTGGAAAGTGAGGTAGTGGAGGCAGGAACCATGCATAGATTTAAGACGGGGCATGATAAAGCTCATGGAGCAGGGTATAAAGGGTCATAACTGGAAGTTGAAGACTCAAGTGAGTCACACGGATGTTAGGAATTATTTCTTCAGTCATAGAGTTGTCAGGAAGTGGAACAATCTAGTGAGTGATGTAGTGGAGGCAGGATCCATACAAGCTTTAAGACAAAATACGATAAAGCTCACGGAGCAGGAGAGAGTGGACTTAATAGCTACCAGCAAAGATGAAGGTCAGGAGCTGTGAATCGACCTCTTCAACTAAAAATAGGTAAATATATAAGGTGTACGTATTTACCTATTTTTGGTTGTGTGAAAGTTGTCACAATTCTTTTTTTCCTGATAACACTCTTCTTTTGGGAGATCTGGAAAAAAAAAGTTGCAAAGACTGGTGGATGAATTTGGGAGGGTCAGAAAAAGAAGGAAATTGTAAGCGAACATAGGAAAGAGCAAGGTGATAAGAGTAACAAAATATTTAGGTAATGAAAGATTGCATATTATTCTGGAGGGAGGGAGTATAGAGGATGTAAAGGTTTTCACATATTTTGTAGTGGACTTGTCAGCAGATGGGCCAATGAGAGACAAGGTGAACCAAAGAATTGATAAGGAGAGAAAGATGAGTGGAGCACTGAAGCATCTGTGAGACAAAAACCGTTATCCATGGAAACAAAGAAGGGAATGTATGAGAGTATAGTTAGACTAACGCTCTTATATGGGTGTGAAGCATGGGTGGTGATTGTTGTAACAAGAAGGACGCTGGACGCAGTAGAGATGACGTGTCTGAGGTCAATGTATTGTGTGAATATTATGCGCAGATTTCGTAGCTTAGAGATTAGAAAGAAGAGGGGTTATTGGGGGTGTTCAGACATTTAGAGAGAATGGAATAAATTAGGATGACCTGGAGGGCGTTAAAAATCAGGAGTGGAGGAAAGACGGGGTACAGGTGTCCCAAAAGGTCGGAGGGGGGGGGGTTTTAAAGGGGATTTTGTGTGCGGAGGGGCTTAGACATCCTCAAGCGTGTTAGTAGAGAGATGAGGCAAGTGGTTTATATGACATGAAATTTTGTTGTAGTCTGAGGCAGGTAATATTTATGAAAGGACATGAATCCAGAAGGCAGGAAGTACAGTGCCTTCGCTCTGAAGGAGAGGTGGAGATATTTGCAGTTTTGAGCTGTAGAATCGGCGCACCTCTGGGAAGACTAATAGAGTGATGATGAAAATGTTTCTTCTCTTTTGGGTCACTCTGTCTTGGTGGGAGACCGCCAGTGTCTTAAATTGAACAATATAGTATAAATATTATAGGGATGGGGACTGCTAGACACGTAGATGGCCATACATGGTCTGGTCAGTCAGGGTGGACGAAAGAAAATAATTAAAATAAGAATAAATAAATAAACAAAACAATGTTAATTATGATTAATAAAAAATGTATGCTAATGTATACTTACAATAATTGCATAGAATACCGACAAGTAGATGAGTAAGATACATGTGCAACGCTTGGCTATCTTTACTGTCGAAACATCTTGCTTACACAAGCGAAATGTTTCGATTACTGAGGTGACTAACTATGGTCACCTCTATATATGACTGAAGAAGCCTACTGTGTAGGCAAAATGCTTAGCCAATATATACACCCCTGTCTGCTGCAGTACATGTGTCTGGGTCATCAGTATTACTGCACATGAACATTATATAATACTAACAAGATAAAGAATTATACGCATGTGCAGCAAGACTACAGTGGATTTTATAAATCCAAGGCTGATTGGCTTATTACCTCATCTTTTGTATATACTTCTACATGGATGGAGAAACGTCTACAAATAAAGATACCCAGATTTTGCACATGTGTCTAATTCTTTATATTACTGTAGTGTAAGTGTAGTTCTGGCTATTCTCCACTAGTTAGTTGAAAATCTCTGTTGTGCGCGATTAAGGTTGTAATTCGTTGGAACATTAATATTATGAATGGTTTTCTCTCTAAAATATGGATTAAAGTGTAAAAGTCTTTGAGTATCTACGGAGATATACAAATCCTAGTGTGTATATACCTATATACCTTGTGTATGGTGGTAAATTTGACTCAACAGGTATACGTTTCCGCAACCACCGGATGGTGCCTGGGACATCAAACGACCTGATGGGTCTTGGAGTGGTATGGTTGGCATGGAGGACAGGCAGGTGAG